GGTTTTGATTTTTTTCTATTGTTCGCTATTGTTGACTTCTGCTCTAATCTGCTGCCTCTTTCTAATTTCAGGTTAGTTGCCAACTACTTGAGCTCTTATTTTTAAATGAATTTACTGCTACTAACTTTTTTGTACTTTTGCCACAACCTGTAATTGATTGTTGTAGGATATTTATTCCCACTGAGACACTCTGAAACTGCTAATAAAGTTTAACCTTGAATCAGGGTGGAGTCAACAATTGGCTAACTGGAATTAGTCATTGAGATTTTGGAGGAGAGGCACAGGAAGCGATAGGGAGGGGCTTAGAGGGATTCAAGGGCTTTTTCTATCTGAGAAGTGTGGAGAGAAGAGGGTCATCTGATCATTCCTCCATCACTCTTTGGATCTATCAGTTCCCCCGACCCCCAATATTTGACTCCAGAGTTTTTATTGTTAATAGGACCATTTAGATAAATGCTTTAGGTGATGGTATATGGTGTGTTCACTGTCAATTCTTTCAAGGTATTTTTCTAAATTCATGATTTCTTCGACTACTGGCTGTTTTAAAATGTGCTATTTTACATGTTAGTGAACTTTCCAGTTTTCCTTTTCTATGGATTTCTAGTTTCACTCCACTGTGATCAAAATGTAGAGCTGGTATGACTTCATTCTTTTTCCATTTCTTTTAAGGCATGTTTTGTGATCCAAAGTATGGCCTGTGCTGGAGGATGCTCCAAGAGAAAAGTGTGCATCCTGTTATTATTATCTGAGTGCTCTGTACATCTCAACTGCCCATCGGCACCGCCCTAGGTCCTGTTTACTTACTGCTCTTCACTCTGAAAAATCAATCCATTACTCAAAGTGGAGTGTCAAAATTCCTCTTGTTTTCTATTTTCCCATCAGTTTATCAATGTGGGTTTTGTATCTCTGACATTCTGTTGTAAGTACAAATGTTTATAACTTAAATCTCTGGTGAGCGTATCCCTTTATCCTTCTATAATATACTTTACTCTTACAATAGTTATATGATAGCAGATAAACAGGTAGATAGACAGACGGATCAAACACACACACACACACACACACACACGTCATACTTTTTGCTGTCTTTTGGCAACCATCCTCTCATCTTCAGTCTTTGCCTGTCCCTATATCGAAAGTGAGATCCTCGGCCTGAAGATGTGGTTCAGCTGGTAGAGTACTAACCTAGCTGCACAAAGCCCTGCCTTGATCTCCAGCACCACATAAGCTGGGTATGGTGGTCGGCCTGTGTCCGAGAACATGCGGAGGGTGTCGGGGATTGACAACACAGAGACTTGTTCAACGATGTAAAGAAAACTTTAAGCAGGCTCCAAAAAGGTTCAAGAAAACTTCCTAAGAAAGGCTCCCACCAGAGAAGCTTCTGCTCTCTCCTCTACCCTGGCTGGTTCTGCTCTGACCCCAGAAACTGATCTGGGCGTGGCAGAAGAGGCGGTTAGTCTTTGGACAAGGTCGAGGTCAGGGCGGTTTCTGTGGGTAGGCCTTTTCCAGGAACGTATTGCCCCGGGCATTGTATTGTTTTTAGTAAACATTGTCTTACAGCTGCCTACTCCCAGGCAGAAGGGGAAGTGGGTCTCTGCTCAAGGTCTGGTGTTCCCACAGGTTTCTATTGCTGTGACAAAACACCATGACCAAAAAGCACATTGAGGAAGAAAGGATTTATTTGGCTTATGCTTCTATATTGCTGTTTATCATCAGAGGAAGTCAGGACAGGAATTCAAGCAGGGTAGGAACCTGGAGGCAGGAGCTGTTGCAGAGGCCATGGAGAAGGGCTGCTCACTGACTTGCTTCTCATGGCTTTCTCAGTCTGCCTTTTTACAGAATCCAGGACCACCAGCCCAAGGGTGGCACCACCCACAGTGGACTGAGCCCTTTCCCGTCAATCACTAACTTAGAAAATACCTTACAGCTGGACCTTATGGAGCACTTTCTCAATTGATGCTCCCTCCTTTCAGGTGACTGGAGCTTGTGTTAAGCTGGCATACAATTAGCCAGCACAGTGATATGCACTTGCTATCCCAGCACCAGGGAGTATGGACAAATTCAAGGTCATCCGGCTACCCAGTGAGTTTGAGGCCAGGCTGTGCTACTTGAGACCTTGTCAACATAAAGTTTAAAAATCATGAGAGAGGAATAAGCAGGTCTAAAGTATGAGCAGAAAAATATACTGAAATATACTCAAATTTTTAAAGAAAAGTAAACCTGATGAAAATAGCTAAAAATCATTATAAAAATAAAAGTAAAATAACCTACAAAGTGGCCTCTTGTAGAGAGCACACAGTTTGATTTTGCTGTATCACTGACTTGGACACTCTTCTGAGTTCCAGCAGTGCTCACTTTATGCAGTGGAGGAAGAATGTCTTCTCTGTTTTAGTTTCATAAGCCAGTGATCTTTTTCTCCCTCTGGTGTCTGTACCCGGTACTGCAGAATCTCTGTACTGAGACAAGCTGGTTCTGCTCTTGGTTCTTTGTGCCCCAGACAGGTAGGTAGTGGGAGAATGACATCTGGGCCTTGCTACTTTCCATTCTTCTGAAACCATGCCTATGCCATTCCTTTCATGTTTATAGTTCCATTCACTTGTCTCTTCTGCAATCATCTGCTTATAATCCTTTCATCTCCATCCTGGTCCTAGAGATAGACTCAGGTCACCACGCTTAGCAACAAATGCTCTTACCCCGCTGAGCCACCTTACAGGGTATATCATACTCTGTGATAGCTACTACATTGTTTATCAATGTGGTGGTATTGGTTCACACACTCATAGTTGGTGTATGGGATCCGTACCTAATACATTGGAGTGTTGTAAACACTGGAGTGTGCAGTGTCACACCTGATTTTCTTTTTAAATGCAGTAAAACATCAATAAGTTACTTAAGCACATATAGGTAGTGACTAACACTAAATATGTTCACATGCTGCCTTCTCACCACTATTACTTATGCAAAGGTTTTCACTGCCCCCAACAAACCAAACACATTAAACATAACTTCCCTTGCTCTCCCGATTTCTGCTCTGCTTTCTACTCCAATGAATCTACCTATTTTAGGACTTCATATATGTGGAATAAAAACATATTTGCTTCTGTGTTAGACTGGCTTTTCTAAGCATGTTTACATGCTCTCTCATACTGATACATACATAAAAATTCTGTTTCTTTTTATAACAGACTTATGCTCCAGGAAATATAAACACATTTTGCTTAACTATGGTTAACCAACAAGACCAGTACATAGACACCTGTTTTAATTATTTTAGGATAATTTCCTATTTAACTTTAGCCATCAACTTGACACAACTTAAAGTCACCTGAGAAGGGAGTCTCAATTAAGGATTATCCAAATCAGACTAGTCTGGGGGTGCCTGCAAGAGATGTCTTGGATGCTAGTTGATGAGGGGGCCCATCCTACTATGGGTGGCACCATTCCTATGCAGGTGGTCCTGGCTGCATAAAAATATGCATAAGAACATACTCCATATGCAGGATCAAACAATACTTCATTATAGTCCTGCTTTGCACACTTCTTGATGAGTGTGGTGCCGAATGCCTTTTCATTTGCTCAGTAGCCAGATGTTTGTTTTGTTTTAGTTTTCAGAGATAAGGTCTCCCACTTGATTTGTATCGGAGGATGACCTCAGCCCTCTCTCACTGAGGTAAGTCTCCAGCATCTACCCAGTGCTGGGTGTCGTTTAAGAGCCTCTAGACATTCCAGACACTGATTCCTTATGGAAGAGCTTTTGTTTTTTTAGACAAAGTCTCACTATGTAGCCCAGGCTGGCTTCAAGCTTATTAAGAAATTCCAAGCTGGGGACTGGGCATGGTAGTGCACGCCTTTCGTCCCAGCAATTAGGAGGCAGAGGCAGGCAGATCTGTGTGAATTTGAGGCCAACCTGGTCTACACCAGCCAAGTGTTCTACCACTGAGCTACCAAGATCCTAAATTCTTAACTTTAATAAAGTTCATTTTTTTCTTTTAGAAAATCTACTATTATCATCATCATCATCACTATATGCAACCATCACATCTGGAAGGGTGAGTGTGCCACAGGGCATGTGCCATCGTGCCTGCGTGAGGTCAGAGGACAATTGTTCTGTCTTCCCACCTTCGTGGGTTTTGAGGTTGGGCTAAGGCCACTGGGCTTATATAGCGAGTGCTTTACCCAGCGAGCCACCTGTCTAGCTCTTCAATTCATTTTTCCTTGCTGACTACGCTCTTGGTGTTGTATCTGGGGGTGGGGGGGCGGTCAAATCTGGTGCTGCCAGGGTCTTTGACAGTGTTTTCCTCTAAGAGTTGTGACATTCACTTGCAATGCGCTCAGAAAGGCTGAGGGTAAGTGCCAGTTTTGATAGAGCTCTAGACTGGCAAAAGCTTTAAAAAAATTGTTTTTGAACCAAGTCTCTCAAGTGCTCAGATTCTTTGGTTAATGATTTGTTAAAAAAAATGCGTGCTCACCAGTTCCAACTTTACTCACAGAGTGAAGAAACATCTGTGATGTGATTAATTGCCTTTTAATTTCTCTGAATCTATCTGATTTGTTTAGTCTAGACTCTGGACTATTGAGTTTCTTAGGGTAGGTCACATATGCACATCAAAATATCCGCTGCCTTGTAAATATCCCAATCTTGTGTGTGGTGGACATGGGGGGTGGGGGGGCAGGTGAGCACAGGGGTGCACACGTGTGCCCATGCCTCCTCCTCCTGCAGTGAGCCTCGGGCTTATTTTCCTTCGTGCTCCTACCTGTACAGGCAGGGCTTGTCCTAGACTGCACACCAAAGGCATGTCACACTAAACTTCCCCGTGACTGCTGGGAGAGCGGTGACTTTTAAAAAGAACATCTAAAAGAACTTCCCACTAATACACTCTCTCCACCCGGACTCGAGATGCGCCGTGAACATGCATTTCCAATTGTCCTTGTACCTTTCTCTCATAACCAAGCAACACCTTCTGAAACCCAAGCAGGGGGATGTTTGGCTTAACACCTACCGACTTTGAGTGTTCAGTCCATTAAGATGACTCTCTCTAAGCTCAGACACTAATGACAAAACCATCTGTAAAACAAAATCAGACACAGGTCAGCTCGCACTGCAGCACGATTACCTCAGCTCCATCTCTCTTGCTGTGAGGAACGCATCCCCTTCCATTTCCTCCCCACCCTCGCCTTGTGTTTTACTTTGCAGAGTGAGAGGAAGGCAACATCACCTCACACTGACTGCCACGTGGGTCTCTGCACGGAACATCTGCAGTTCTGCAGAGGCAATGCGCACAGATAGGTCCTAGAATTAACACCAACCCCACAGAAAATTAAAACACACTGGAGTTTACTTATTTTCTTCCTTCTTTAGTTCCTTTTTTTAAAAAGTGCTTTTCAGTGTATGGCTTCCAAAACATCAAAATAGGTGGTAACCATCAAAGTTCTAGTTTTCAGAAGAGTATGATATGTGTGTGCGTGCTTATGCCACAGTGTCTCGAGGGAAGACGGAGGGCAGCTCTTCCACCTTTAGGTGGGGACTGAGGATCAAACTCAGGTCACCATGTTTTCATAGTAAGCACTTTTACTGAGGCCATCCTGACACCCCTTTAGTTAATCTTCTGCTTTGTCTCAGCATAAAATTCAATCGGGGTATTTTAGATATGATATCTGTTCAGAAGTCCGGGCTATGTTTATACTGGTTAAGGAGTGTTCTTCTCAGAAATCTGAGTGAGTGAGATGTGTTGTGAGAATCCAATGGCACCTCACATCTCCTTCCGTGGCCGCAGCTCTACCCCAGGTAAGAAATAGACAAAAGTTCTATGACTCCCTGGGAGAGGAGAATGTCCAGTTTACCCTTCACATAACTGTTGAGAATTTCAATATGAATAAAGTAAGATACTCACATTTTTAAGCAAACTAGGATAGTAATCAACAGGCTCATATCCCAGAATTTCAGTAAAAAGACCAACTTCTTTCATGTTGAATCTGATCGTGGAAAGTATATGAGATAACAAACTCTAAAATCAAAACAAAACAAAAAGAGAAACAGTCAACTTCTCTCAAGTGGATCAAGCAGGCTTGGTTTAAACATCAGCAGTTATGGGTTTAGTACGATAAAGCCAGAGAAGGGAGGTCAGCACCTACAATACCAACTGCCTTGCATTCTGGAGGACAAAAGGAGCTGCTCGCTCATACGGATTTGTGAGGTTAGGAGTTCCAAACATGAGCTAGTGTAGATGCAGAACGGAACTCTGTTGTCAGACCTGCATGGCAAATGCGTTTTAATCATAAAACAATTTGCAAAACAAAACTGCATGACTTAACTTCTGTCTGCTTTGTCTGTGATTCCCTGATATGAATGGCTACAGAGGAGCACAGAGGTCCAGCCTCGGATAAAACAAGCAGAAGTCACAAATGCAACATACTGAGTCCTCTCCTGGGCTGACAGCTCTAAGAAAAAGCTTTAGAGTTGAAATTTCTTACTTGAAAGTAGATTCCATGGGCTGGGGAGAGCACTCAGGGGTTAAGAGCACTGTCTACTTTTCAAGAGGGCCCAGGTTCAACTCCCAGCACCCACACAGTGTCTTACAACTGTCTGTAGCTCCAGCCCAGGGAGAGCCAATGCCCTCTGGCTTCTCTAGGCACCTAAACTTAAGACCCTCAACATATAAAATAAAAATTGAAACTTTAACTTCAAAATTAATTAATCTGGGCCAAGGGTGTAGCTCAGTGGCAGAGTGCAGAACCTGTCAGTTCTCAATACCAAAACAACCAGCAAAATAAAAATCACTGTTTCTTACTCATAGGAATATCTCTCTTACTGCCACCTAGTGGCAAGATCTTTAAACACAGAGCCATGAAAGGCAAGGCACTGACTGGCTCAAGCTGTTTAAAAGGCCAGGGGATCATGGAGGCTCACCAACTCCACCCTCCTGGGTCCACGATCCTAAGACACTAACCAAGAACACAAACACGAACACAAACTAGTGTCTGCAAACGGAACATGGAGAAATGGCCAAGCATTGACTATAAAACGGTGCAAATACTTCAGCCCTGCTCTCTCTAAAGCCCTTCAGAGGTCAAAGTGCAGAAACCAACATGACTCAACACTTGAAGTACCCGAGTACATCTACACCTGCCACAGGGTGCATGGAGAGGTGAGGGGGAAGTTTCCCAGAGTCCATTCTCTCCAGATGATACATGGGTCCCCAGGATAAGAATCAGATTATCAAGCTTGGTGGCAAGAGCCTTTTCCTGCTGGCACACCTCACTAGGCCACACACAATGACTTCTGAAAAGACTTATTTGTGTGTGTGTGAGTGAGTGGATGCCTGCATGTATGTATGTATGTATGTATGTATGTATGTATGTATGTATGCATGTATGCATGCATGTGCACAATGTGGATGCAGTGTCCTTGGGGGCCAGAAGAGGGCATGAAATCCTTTGGGTTTGGAGTTACATAGAAGGCTGTGTGCTGCCATGTGGGGGCTGGGAACTTAACCTGGGTCCTCTGCAAATGGTCTTAACCACCAAGCTGCCTCTCCAGCCCCACACAAAAGGATTTTTAAGATCCATGTTGATTCATGAAGTTAAATTTTAAGAGTGAAAGATTTTTTGCTCTTGAAGAGCATTGGAAATGCATACTCTAAGAAGACAAGTTCTCACAGGTGTTCCCTTGTTCTCACATGCTCTGGTTCCTCCCCACCCTACTGCTGCTGTCTGGGCAGCATGTTTATTCCCTGGAGCAGATTATGAGGGTTAGAACATGTGTGGTCAAGGTAGAAAAAGGTGTAGGCAGAGTTTTCCTGTCCTGACCATCTGCTCCCAAATAACCAACACAGAGGTTGAATATCACTTATAAATGCTCAGTTGATAGCTCAGGCTTGTTACTAGCTAGCTCTTACACTTAAATTAACCCATATTTCTTATCTGTGCTATGCCATGGGGCTCATAGCTTGTTGCCTCATTTTCTACATATCCTGCTTCCTCAGAGGCTCGACAGTGTCTCCTCTGACTCCACCCTTCCTCCTCTCATCATTCTTAGTTTGGCTTTCCCACCTTACTTTATCCTGTTCAGCTCCTGGCCAGTCAGCTTGTTTATTAAACCAACCACAGTGACATATATTCACACGGGCGTTTTTTAATCTGTTCGGAAACTAGGATCTTTTATTCATTCATTCATTCAGCAAACACACTAAGGGTAGTATATATTCTGCTGAAACTGGTAGGATAAAAGCTCCTACAGACTGTGATGGGCAGCAGAGACAGAGAGACAGGAACAGTAAGTGCTATCAAGGGAGGACGCTCAGCCAGTCTCTGTGCCAGCACAAGGAGAAATGATTCTAACCCAGTTCTCTGAGCACATCAGAGAGATGACATCTGAGCCGGCTCGTGGCAGCTGGGGAAGCAAGAGGAGGATACCCATGAGTGGTGTGGGCTGATCAGTGTAAGGGGAACATGACTGAGCAGGAGAAAGAGCTGGCACTGGACACATGGTCATGGCCAGTACTGTGGCTGCTGTTCTTACCTATCCCTAAGCACAGGCCCACCCCACCCACCTGGCCAGACGTAACCTTCGGATCGATTCATCTGGCCCTAGCATTTCTGTTTCTCCCAAGGAACCCAACATTACTCCTGCCCGTCTCTGGCTGTCAACAATTACCCTTAACACTCTAAACCCATATTTTTCCTCTGAGATTTCTGTTCCAGTTTCAACTGAATATAAGATCCTCCCTCGTTCTCCTGGAACCTCCATGGGGCCCTATTTGCACTTTTGTCTAGAGGCCTGCAATACTGTTTGTTTGTATTGGTGGTCTGTCTGTCTGTCTGTCTGTCTGTTTTTCAAGACAGAGTTTCCCTGTGAGCCCTGGTCATCCTGGAACTCACACTGGACCACGATGCCCTTGAACTCAGAGATCCTCCTGCATCTGCCTCCTGAGTGCTGGGATTAAAGACACACCACCACCACCACCACCACCACCACCACCACCACTGAGCTTGCAATCCTGTTTTAAACACATGCTCTAGTCCACTTAGGACCCACAGGCCCAGGAGAGAAGGGGGGCTGTCTTGCCATCTCTTACCTTCCCTTGAGCAACTGCAAGCTCTGCTCACACAGTGAATACTTAAGGAGTCATATTCAACAGGAAGCAAGACTCTTACAAACTTCCTTTGTGACCTTTTTTTTTTTCTTTTCAGGAGAACAAGAGAAATTCTGTGTTGTGGGCTATTTGTACACTGTGTGAAGATGTACTGTTGTGACTGATGCAATAAAAAGCTAATGTGCAATAGCTAGGCAGGGGGTAGGTATAGGTGGGACTTCCAGGCAGAGAGAGAGCGAGAGAAAGGAAAGGGAGAAGTAATCTCGGCAGGCAAGAGACACCAGGGACACACTCAGGAGGTTGGACATACAGTACAGAGTAGAGGTAACCAAGTCACGCGGCGGAATGTAGATTAATAAAAACAGGTTAGTTGTTATAAGAGCTAGTGGGATAAGTCTAAGCTAATGGCCAAGCTTTCATAATTAATAATGTCTCTAGGTCATTATCTTGTCCAAAGATAGTTGGACAAGAAAGATTGCTACAATTCTGTTTTTCACAACTTGCTTTTATTTCAAGTCATAAAATACCCACAAAACTAAAAACCCTGACACTGATATGTACTTTTACTTAAAAGAGCCTAACTCACTTTGGAAACCTTGGCCAGAGCCTCATACTGCTACAGACTCTATCCCACCAATAACATGTCATTTTACAGACCATGGTAGTCGGGTATTTTCCAGAATCTGAGGACACCCACAAGGGACAGGACAAGCAGCAGCAAGCATCATCACTATAAAAAGAGGCTTGGACATTCCAAAGCAATCTCAGCTGAATTTCATATTTTGAAATTAATTTTCATATGTTCATGCAATCAATTTATTTTGCCTTCCCCCATGGACCCTTCAGGTACATTAAAATGTGTTTGACCTCCCCTTTCTTTCTCGAGCCCTTCTAGACGTTAGTCTAGAGCAGGTCACAGAGGTGAAGCTATCTGAATGCTTGGAAGATTAAATGCCTGTGCTCCAAAGCTACACCAGCTACTTCCTCTTCCGTGTTCACATGGCTTTTGCTTAACTGTCTAAAAAGGATATGTGGCCATTATACCTGAACTCTTACTTAGCCATCACTGACATTCCTAAATTAATTAAATCACCTGCAAGTGATTTCTAGTTTTCAACGCTGGGTATCAGGCTGAAAACTGGGCTTCTGTTCTTGACAACTCCGTCTTAAATTACCATTTAAACAGATGATCCGAACACAAGGTCAACATGTAAATTTATTTCAGAGGAGAAAGCATAGAAATGCTGCCTCACCTTGAGTAAACTGTTGCAAAACTTCTAAAAATGAGTGTCAGGACTGGAGAGATGGCTCAGTGGCTCAGAGCACTGACTGCTCTTCCAGAGGCCCGGTTTGGTTCCCAGCACCCGATGCCATCTTCTGACCTGAGGGCATCAGGCACACAAGTGACAGGAAGACACAGATTCAAGCAAAACACCCAAGACATATTAAAATAAACCTCTAAAATATCTCAAAACGTGTGTCAGAGGTTTGTATTAGTGGGGACACATAAAGGTTTTGGCAAGAGGAACTCAGTGTCACCAAGATGTATACTATCTGAGTATGAATTGCAGTTATCAATGACAGCCCTATGTAGAGTTGTTAGTGGAATATCACAAACTTTCCTAAAACCATACAAAAACAAAGCAAGAAGAAACATGAAAAGTGAATGGCTAGACAGACACCTGGACATACATGAAGCACACATGAGGTATAATCCTTGCCTGTACCATGATTATTCTACCCCCATCCATCTACAGCATGAGTACACTACAATTCCTAAGGAAGGAATTCACCACTCTTTACAAGTGTCTAAAATCATACAAAATTGTCTGTTTCCAACTTAGGAGTATGGCCACCCTAATAGTAGTGGTAAAACTAGAAGAGAGACAGCATCAAACAGCTCAAAAATTATT